GCTAATGTGGCACCTGTCAGGGCAGAGGTACAGGCAGGACCATCCTGGAAATTTACAGGAGGAAGAAGAGAAGTCATTTCAGATGGGGAGTGACCTACAGACTGAACGCAGACTGGACATTCACTCGCTCACTCCCAGAGGGTAACAACATGCTTCCTGCCCTCAGTGAGCTCACAGTCTATGGGGGACACTGACAAATAATCAGGCCATGGTAACACAGCATGGCAAGGGCCAAGATGTGGTTTGGGATCCAGGGGAGGGAGAGAGGGAGGCATACACAACCTCCCCCCGGAGTGATCCCACGGGGCCAAGGCTGCTTCTAGCTGGGTCCCTAACAGCAGGTGGCAACTCTGCCTGGCCCTGCCCTAAGACAGGGCAGCTTTTTCCTCCTGCTATCCCTGAACAGAAGGACAGGGCCTCTGTGCTTAGCCCTCTGTAGCTCAGAGAAGTTAAGCAACTTGCTCCAGGCCTCACAGCTGAGCCCCAGCCCTCATGGTTTCTGAGGCCCCTGCTCTTTCCACGGCTGCCTCCGCAGCTCTCTCCCAGCGATGACTCACGGGAGGGGACTACAGCTCTTCCTTCTGCTTTCTGGGTGGAATATTTTGGTTCCCAAGACCGGGCGTGGGCAGAGCCGAGACCACAGAGGCGGCGCGGCTGTGTTGAGTCCCCTGGGCAGACAGCGCTTCCTTGCTAAGCTCCCGCCAGACTCCAGAGCCAACCCTCAGATGAGTGCGTCAGCTGTGTCCCCACTGGGGTCAGTCCCACTGGGCCCCTTGGGAGCCCTGGAACCCAGAGAACTACCCATGCTCTTGCTTGTTTTCCTCCCCTTCTTTCTCTTCTTTGCCCCAGGGCGGGCCGGGTCCTGTCACCCAGGGAAGGGAATCTCATTAGGAGACTCATTACCCTGTACGTACCCCTGGGACCCACAAACTGGTCCTTCCCTTGCAGGGGTGCCCTTTAGCAGGGAGGGCTGGGTCCTGCCACCTCAGCCGGCACCTCCAGGCCACCTCCTCTTCCCCCTCCTGGCCTTTCACACGGGGTGGGGCCGGGAGCCTCTATTCCTTCCTCACCCTCCAGGAGCCCCGCTGCGCGCTGGCATTCACCCCTGCACCGAGCCAACAGCGCAGCTCCTTTCAAACCCCCGGAGAGAAGCAAAGCTGGACAAGGCTGTCCTCAGGCCCTTTGTTGGGGACTCGGTTCCCAGGCCTTTGATCTGCCAGGCTCGCTGGCCAGGCCCCACCGGAGCGGCCACCATAATGCAGCCATTGTGACCCCTGCACACCAAGCCCATTGTGGGCAGCACTCTCCGGGCGGGCACCTGAAAGTCATGAATGCCTGGCTGTCAGGCAGGCAGAGCAGGTACGGCATCCCATCCCGGAGGGGCAGGGCCTCCCGCTGGAGACACAATGCAGGGAGACGGTTGCTATGTGGGGTCCCAGCGTGTGCTCAGGGGGCCCTGTCAGCAGCGGGGACGGAGCCTGCAGACTTTGGGAACTGGAAAGGTGGGACGAGGGCCGGCCTCTGAGGAACCTGCCTTCTCCCCCAACCCTCCTCTTCACCCCCACGCCACACCCCTGTAAAAAAGAGGCCTCTTCGGAGGGGAGGGCACGCTCTCGCTCCAGCACGCCCCAAACGACTGTCTCTCTCTCCGAGGCCAGCTCACGGATCCAGGCGAGGCCTGGCGGCCACCTGGGCACAGGGAGGAGCTCCCACCAGTAAACTGCTCTCCAGCTCTGCTCGCCCACCCCGCGGGCGATGGAGACTGAGGTACGACAGGACCGGCCTCAGCAGGAACAAACACATGGTGCTAACAGCCTGGTCAGTCACGCAGCACGGGTGGTGGCCCTGAGAGGACCGATGGCCTCAGCCGCCCCTGGCCACTCTAGGGGGGCCACGGCACAGCCCCCCACGGGTGAAGGAATTTCTCACGCCCACCTGGACTCCTTAGTTCTTACCTCAGCCAGTCGTGTCAACACCCCTTCCCCATGGGCAGGATAAATATTATTATCCCATTTTACTGAGGGGCTGACTGAGGCCCCAGGGTCCTCTCCTTCTCTGGAAAGGGGTGTCCTCAGTAAGGAAGGCACCACTGTGCCTTTGGTATCCAGAGGTTTGAGACAAAATGTCTAGCCTAGGATACCTCTTGGGCTAAGGAACTCCTCACCTGTCCGTTAATAAAGTCTCCTCCTAAATGCCGACGGGCAGGTGGAGTGAAGGGAGAACCCGTGGGCCAGCTGAGAAAGGGCCAGTGGCTTGGGCTTTGGAACCCTGGCTCCAACAGCCAGGTGACCTGAATCCTCACTTGCCTCCCCTGTAAAATGGGAACAGCAGTGTGATCCGTGGCCTGATGTCCAGCCCACCTGGCACAGTACTCAGGACATGGCCTGTGTCCAGTGGTTTCCTTGGCCATACACAACTTTGCAACTCTGAAGCTCTTTCAGTTCCTCAAATGCTCTGCCCTCCTGCTCACCTCCTGCCCTCCGAATCCTCCTCAAGGTCCTCCTCTTGGCCTGGGATAGATAGTCTTCCCTCCCTGTCTACTCAGCTACCTCATAGCTATCCCACACGTCCCATCACAGACATCACTTCCTCCAGGGAGCCTTCCCTGATTTCCTCATCAAGGTGAAGTCCCCTACTGGGGGCTTTGTGGCCCCTATCCTTCTCCCTCTCAGAACATTTGCACACTGATGAGTCACTGACTTGTTGGTGACTTCCTCATCACGCTGTGTGTGTTGGAGGGCAGGGATAAGTTGGTTTTGTTTGAGGAGATATCTGTAGCACATCACAAGATGCCTGGGACATGGTCTTAGAACACATTTGCTGAAATGGTAAAAAAATTAACAAAAAGAGGGTTCCTTCCTTCCCCTCTGCCTCTACTAAGACCACTCTCCAGAGGCAGGGACTCTCCTCAGTGCAAGAATAAAAACCTTGGGTCTTTGTAATTGGACTAAAGCGTGTGTTATTCTTATGTTAGCTGGAACACGAAAGGCATCCTCTCTGACAGTGAGTCCCCGCTGAACAAACTTCCAAATCCACTCTTGCTCCTGGTGTGGGAGGCCAGAACATACCACCCCAAAATACGCCTCCTGGACTCGAGGACTGCTGAGCTGAAGGCAATAATGAAGCAGATACAGGAGAACTCTCTGTCCTCCACCTACTTGCTTAAAAGCAGCACCCAGATTTACAAAGACAAAAGGTATCCTGCCCCTCTTCTGCCAGGGAGAACAGAGATTAACCACTGAAGACACCTTTAGACCCTTACTGTCTGGAGATGGTACCAGAGGAGTCCACCTTAACAAGCTTTACTAACTAACCTTTATCTGCCATTTATTTGTCTTCCCACAAGTTGCTGCCCCTAGAGACTTAAAGTCCTTTTCCTTTGTCTTGTCACTTCTCTAAAAATGTACTGTTCTTTGCTGAAGATGTTATATAAGCTGAAATTCAAAGCCTCGTCTTTGACCACTACTCATTCCCTGGGTGTGTCCCAGGTATACATGAAATATACACGTTAATAAACTTCTGTTTTTCTCTCATTAATCCATTAGAGGGGACTGTTCCAACTATGAGCTTATGACAGTTGAAGAACAACTATTTTTCTCCCCCTACAGTGGCATTAGGCTCAAATAATGGTAGCACTCCCGCCATGGCCCAGCTACCATGCTGGCATCCTGACATCTCCCTGGATACCCCCCGGCTGCCCAAACTCAGTGAGCTGAGCCAGCAGGAAGGTGGGCCCCAGCTCAGGGCCGGGGGCGGGTGGAGGCAGGAGACTGTTTTCCTTCAGTGTCACTGCAACGCTGGCTTGTCCCAGCTCCTGGCTGGAGTGAGCGAGCCAGCGAAAGAGGGGAAGAACCAGCAGGCAGAGGCGGGCGCTGGCACTCTGCAATATGCAGTGGCTGTGGTTAAGCCGGTGTCTCCAGAGAAACACAACCAGGATCATTGTGCTGGCCCTGAAACTGCTGGCTGGCCCTGACTTTTTCAGCAGTAGAGAGGCCCAGGAAGGGGCAGGAACCTCGCTGGGGGCTGCTCCTTTCTGTGAGGTTCAGCTACAGTGCCACTAATGTGAGCAGAGCGGGCAGTCGGTTCCCAACTCAGTATCTGTTTCTGCCTCTGCACCTCTCTGTGGGTGCCAGGGCCCCCTCATCTTGGGGTACAGTTGCCTGCCATGATCTAACAAATATTTTTTGAGTGCCTACTATGTACCAGGCCCCATTCCTGGGGACAGAACAATGAACAAAAAGTTCCTGCATTTTAAAAGCTTACATTTCAGACAGTGACTGTGTCTTTAATTGCAAGCCTTCCCATGCAACTATTCTACCAAGACCGTGGTCTCACTGAGAGCTGCTTTACAGCATTACATTATATAGCTATTGCTACCCAACCTGTCTACACTGTGGTCTCACCGAGAGAAGGAAGAGACCTGATTCAGCTCTAGATTCTCCAAGGCACCCAGTACAGAGCCTGGCACTCACGGATGCTCACTTTACAGCCACCAAAACAGGCCCGGACAGGATTCGTCCCCAAATCCAGGAGCCCCTTTCCTTGTCATGTGATGGCGCCTACAGAAATGGAGTGGGCACCAGCTGCTCACAACACCTGGCCACACACAAACAAGTTGGCTTCACATTCCAAGCTGCTTTCAAAGGGAAATGCATCATGAGTGGTTTTTCCGCTGAGGGTGTAACAAGGCAATTTCTGGCATCAAATATAGAAAAAATTAATGTCCCAGGCGCACGAATAAGATCAAAGCCACAGATCAAAGATGTGGATGAGACAAGAACCACCACAGAGGCACAGTGTTGGTCCCTGGGCAGGAATCAGCAAGGGAGGAGGAGGTTTCTGCAACCTCGGGAGGCCAGGAACGTGAGTGATCGGAAAGCGCAGATGTGCACGTGACCCACAGAGGAAGCGAAAGGCGCGGCACGTAATCAGCGTTCCGTTAAACAGAGCTGTATCATCATCACCGAGGCACCTGGCAACCCGGGAGCTGCGCCCCTTACCCAGCGTGTACGTGGGGCCTGAGCAGCCGCGGTCCCCGCTGATGCCGAGGAAAGGAGAAACCACTTGCTTCACCAGCTCCTCCAGCTGCAAATAACCCTCGCTTGGGCCTGTGGGCTCGTGAACACCCTGGAAATGAACAGCCAAGAGAGACGAAGGTCAGTGAAAGCTGCCACGGCCAGCAGGCACCCAATCCGCAAAGCCTGGCTGCCCTCCTCCTGCTACAAGGCAGTGTTGCCAGCGGGCAGCACCCTTGTGGCTAGAATAGAGGAAACTGAGGCCTGAAGCTCTAATCACTCGTCACAGGTCTCTGCGATGAGATCTGTGCACGGTCAGCCCCACGGCAGCCTCTCCCACGGGGCCCTGTGCATGCTCGTGGGTGCGCCTGTGCCGGCTCCAGGGCTGAGGGCAGACGGGTCCCAAAGGCAGTAATCCCACCCCCACTGTCACAGTGACCCGTTCACACACACAGCACAGGCACCTGACGTGTAGCGGTGCATGGCGGTCTCCCAACAACCAAAGAGGAAGGTGCTCTCACTATCCCCCTTCTATGGAGGAGGAAATAAAGACTCAGAAAGGTTAAGTAACACACCCAGGAAAACACAGCCTGTAAATGGCAGAAACCCCAGCCTGGAAACTACCCTATCTGGCCCCGAGCCCCTCTTACTGCCACTTGTTGCCAGGCTAGAAAAGAAAGGGGTAAAGAATATGGACAAGCTCAGGACAATCAAAGAAAGGGAGAATTATTCTAGAACTAGGCACAGTTTTAGCACCAAGACGAAGAGCCAGTTTCAAAAGCTCAGCACAACAGGAGTCCTCAGAGCTAAGCCCTGAGTAAACACCAACTAAAACAAATAACCACAGTGGTCAAAGCCGAAAAGGAACCAGCAACCAACATTTTCTAGAAAACCAGCAGCCTCCTAGGGAATTCAGTTTCTCGCTGGAACGGACTTGAAGACATGTTCTCATGCTGAGGGGCTGCAAGGAAGCAGAGACCACCGGGCAGGAGACGGGGCCTGAGCAGGAAAGAGACAAGGCTCCGTGGGGCTATGCTCAACGGGGCTGTCCTGTCAAAGACTTGGAGGTTGGGGCTGGGAATGTGAAGCCGGAAGAGAAGACAGGCAGAGAAAATGAGTGACTTCTCCCTATGCCTCTCCCTTCTGTAACTCCCAAGAGCCAAACGGGGAGAAACGGCAGGAAAAGGAGCAGCAGTGAAAGGTAGCAAGAAAAGGGATAATGAGCACGTGATTTGGAGCTGGCCGGTTTCCTTCCAGAAAAGCAGCTGCTGAGAACTTGGCTTGCACACAGCCCTCTAGGAAGCTGCTGCCCTCAGCCCTTGGCTTGGCGGCGACTGGCTATGGAATTCGTGTGGCCTATTGCAAAAGGAAAATGCAGGTCCCCGTGTTCAAAAATTATTGTGAATTTCAAGAAGGCGATGGGAGAAGATTAAAGCAAGCGCAGGGTTCTCAGAGCCTGGCTGGGCGGGGGCCCCTCCGAACGTACCACTCTTAGGATGATCTCAGGACACGTCTGCTCCAGGTGGGAGGGACCAGATCTTCACACTTCAGGCTGGGACAGCCTGAGGGCAGAGCACAGGGCCCATGGTAGGAGAGTTTGAGCCCCTTGTGCATTTTGAGAAGGGTGGAATAGGTTCAGGAATATTTTGGAAGAGCAATGGAAAAGGGAAAGATAAAGGCTGGAGAAAGAACTCTTTTCTCAGAAAGCTTTGAAAAAACCAGCCCCAGGTCTCATGGCACTGTGAAGAGTGGGGGAGTGGGGAGAGAACGCACAGTTCTAAGAACCGAGGCCCAAACTTCCGACAGCAGGAATAGCCCAGGGCAGTGCCACCTGGACGCGCCACGCAGTTCCAGAGGCTACCGCCCCTGCGGCTCAGAAGGATGAACTTGGGCTGGGGAAAGACCCGAGGCAATGCAGGTCACGCTCCCAGCCCCAGGGGCTATAGCTGCTGGGCAGAACATTCCCAGGAGGCCTCAGGAACACGGTGCCACCTGCCCTGTCTTAGAAGCTGACAGGCACTTCCCAGTACCTGGGAGACTGCGGGAGGGAGGCAGCCGTAGCGGGGAGAGGCTGAGGGAAGGTGGAAAGAGCGAGAACTGCGGAATGGGGGACAGTCCAGCTCTCTTAGAAATGTGTATGTGACCCTGAGCCGGGTCACCAACTTCCTCTTCCATCCCAGCTGTGAAAGGGGCAAAACAGTGGCGTCCATGCCATTTTCCTTTCCTTGACTGACCTTCTAGAAATTCACCAAGACCGTGGAGCTCCTCTGACCGTACTTTCCCCTGCCAGAGGGGAAGCCCCACACGGCGGTCACCAACGTGGGCTTTTAGGCCAGGGACCAGGCGTCAGTCCTCCTCAGGCTGTCGCTGGCTGGCACCATCATAAACTGAACCATGTTTAGTTAACACCCACTACGTGCCAGAGACTGTGCTGGGGGCACAAAAGCGCAGAGAAAACATGAGGACCCGCCTTGACTGGACAGGGGCTTGGGGGCCTCGGGAGACAAAGTGTTCTGGGCAGAGGGACGGCGAGAACAAAGACCCCGCTGCTGCAGGGAGGAGCCCAGGAGGCCACGGCAGTGGGGAAGTCAGGTTCCAGGGGAGGCTGGAGGGCCCAAGGCCGGGGTACAGACTTGGGCTGTTTTCCTAAGACCAACGGGGAACCACTGAAGGGTCTGAAGCTGCCCAGTGGAGAGATGAAGGCAGATTCTCCTGGGCAAACAGTCAAGCGCATCCTTGGGGGTTCAGGGAGATGACAACAGTTTTCTCATATGGTTGCCGGGTTGTCTGGCACAGAGCCAGAATGTCGGAATGTGCTAGATGTTTTTCATTACACAGACAGGCCCCTCTGTTCCAGCATCAACACGCGAGAGCCTTCACCTGCTGGACTGGACCGATTCTCCTTCCAACAAAACCGAACCACCACCACCAAACACACAGAGGGATCACTTCTCATCCCCAAAATATTATAAATGGAAACGGGAGGGGGGAAGGCCAAAGGGCTCATTTTCAAGACCCCTCATTCAAGATCCAAGCTCTCATTCAGGCTTCTCAGACACAAACTGCAAACACATTTTTCTATCTCCTTCTCCTTTTCTTCCATAGAAATGCCTAACCTGTCATTCCAGCCAATTACACCCACCCTCTCACCCTCTTAGGCCACTCTCCCTCCTCCGTTATGACAGGAAACGGGGAGAATGCCCAGGACAGCCCGACTGAGAACTGAAAGAGAAGAGCAGCTCAGAGGTGGGGGAGTCAGGGCCCCAAAGCCTGGCGTTCCATCCTGCTGTGCGGGCAGCATGGTGTCACCTAGCCTGATCAAGAACGAAGCCCTCAGCTGGGCGCGGTGGCTCACGCCTGTAATCCTAGCACTCTGGGAGGCCGAGGCGGGACGATTGCTTGAGCTCAGGAGTTCGAGACCAGCCTGAGCAAGAGCGAGACTCCGTCTCTACTAAAAATAGAAAAATTAGTCAGGTGTGGTGGTGTGCACCCATAGTCCCAGCTACTCGGGAGGCTGAGGCAGGAGGATGGCTTGATCTCAGGAGTTTGAGGTTGCAGTGAAGTATGATGACGCCACGGCACTCTAGCCCAGGTGACAGAGTGAGACTGTGTCTCAAAAAAAAAAGAAACCCTCTACCCTGGGGAGGGCTGGAGCTAACACTGCAGCATCTGAGCTATTAATAGTTAGAGGTGGGAGGCAGAGCAGTCCCCTCGTGGGGGTGTCCTGAGCCCACAGCCCTGTCCTTTGAGAACTATGTCCTGTGTGCTCCCACCCATAGGAATGGGCTCACCAAGTCCCTGTTTATACTGCTTGATCCTACTCAAGGTCACAGCTCGGGCAAAGGAGTCACCTAGCCCAAGCTGGACCAATCAAACTCTCGTCTCTGGGGAGGAGGCAGAGAATGCACAGTTCCAAATCTTACTACCATTTACTATCTGAGGGATCTCAGGCACGTGAACTTCCTAGGTTTCAGTCTCCTCATCTGTAAAATGGGAATAACAACAATGCCTGCTTCATAAGGTGGTTGTTTGGATTATTTGATTAAAGAAACAACACACTTGCAGTCCTTGGCTCATGCACACAGCCAGGGACCAGTAAGTGTTAGCCCGTCTTCCTATTGCTGATTTAGAATTGGGATTAAGAGACACTAGGCAGACACAGGTCGTCTTGTACTGGAAACACATGAGCCGTGGGTTGCCACATTGGATCAGGAGCAAGACAGACGCAGAACACCAAGTCCAGGAGAGACGGGGCAAGGACAGGAGAGGCAGCATCAGAGAGAGACAAGGTAGACCAGATACAAGTGGAGACCAGAAAGCAGAGAAAGGCTGGTGGCTTCATGGCCTGACATGGCCTCATTGCCAGCTATAATCCCCCATGAAGTCCATCTACCCTGGGAGCCTTCCGGTGAGTTCCTGGTCTGGCTTGAGCTGGGCCAAAGTAGATTCTTTGCTGTAACTTGCAACTGTGGCTCCCTGACATGACTAGAGAGGGGAGAAGGGTGCCCACTTCCTGAACGAAGGACCACGCTTCTTTCACTGCCCAGTGCAATCCCAGCACCCAGCACAGCACCAGGGGCCTAACAGGTGCTCGGTGAGAGCACATCAAATGAACGAAGGAATATGGACAAACTCAAGAATACTAAACCAAGCTAGGATGCTCTGGGCATTTAATCCCTTCCCCTCATCCCAGATCAGCAGCTTCTTCCCTCTGCCCCTCCCTTCACCTCGGGGCACGCCCCAGCAGGGCCTCACCTGCAGGATGAGCAGCATCTGGACGATGGATGAGGGCGGCTTGGGCTGCGCCAGCAGCAGCAAGTCTCCCAGCTTCACCTTCAGCAGGACCAGGTCTCGGAAGCCCAGCAGGGAGATCTGGCGGATGGTCAGCTCCTGGCCCTGGACAGCAGAGAGGAGGGGCGGCCGGGAGGTGAGACATTGCTGGATCCGCCACCAACCACATGAGGTTCAGGACAACATGTGTTTACAGAGCGCCCGGCATGGGACAGGATGAGCCAGGAGGAGGCGTCTGCACGGCCCCGTGGGTCTGTCAAAGAGTCAAAGAGCCAGCCCCTGCCCTCCGGAATTAAAGCGTCTTTCAAGATAAGGCGTAACTCAAACTGCCTAAACGACCCAACGACTAAACAAGACACATACGCAGTAGGGGCCGTGCTGTCATAAATGCCGAGTGGGCAGGAGGGGGAAGATGGAGAGAAACAAGAGAAAAGATCAATACCACCACCCCACATCCAAGGCTGTTTCCTCAACCTCATCTGTAAGATATCTGAGCACCTATCACCCGCCAGGCAAAGGAAGAAAACATCGGACCTGTTGGATTGTTATATATGTGCCAGGAACTTAGGAAGAAAAGTAATCAGGGAAATAGAAGGAAAGGGACTTGTTCAACTGAGAGGGTGTTGGGGGGTCAGAGGATGAAAATGACAGCTAATCACAAGAGCTGACATTATTAAACTCCACGTGCCAGACGAGATTCTAAGTAGAATGTAGATAACACATATAATACCCACAACCTGTCTCAATACCCTTTGAGACAGGTTCCATAATAAAATCTGCACCACAGATGAAACACCCTGAAGCCCGGAGAGTTCCTGTAATTCATCCAAGGTAGAGCTCCACCCAAACTATTTGATTTCAGAGCTTCTGAAGTTTCCCAAGACCAAAAGGGAAAGGAAGGCCCGTTTCCCAGACTCCCCTTCACACACATGTACCGTACACACAAAAACTCAGCTGCTCTTGGTAGAGCCAGAGACATCATTAGGGTGTCCACCCTCCCAAACAGGACGTGGCTTCCCATGCCCCAGGTCCACCAAGGTTTAAACTTCCTTAAGGAAGTTTTGCATTTCCTATACCTCCTTAGTGTTGTGTAGAAACCCAGGCAAGGGTGGATTTGCTACGTCCACATCTCCCCACCCTCCACTCCCAACAGACACACACAACCACCATCCATGCCTTTCTATAGCCTAAAAATAATTCTAAAGGGAGCTAACATCATGTAGGGTGCTTTAAATAGGCTATCTTAATTATACGGTACTGTGATGTGGTTTTATTCTTTTGCTACCTCTGAGAAGCTGGGCAGGTGGTGTCGCTCTGATGCACAGGGATGAGGTCCCAACCCTCCGGACGGCCCAGGGCCCTGGGTACTGCGCAATGCCGGAAGCTGATAGGACATACCCAGTTTTGTTCACAGCCTTCCAGTGAAGTGAACAATAGAACTGTTTAAGCTAAAAAAGATGGGGAAAGAGGAGGAGGAAGACTGGGGCACACAGTCTTCTAGAAACCACTCCTAAACAG